CGCCGCATCACGCAACGCCGCCGCCGCCCTTGCGCTGTAGGACTCGGACTCGGACTCGGACTCGGACTCGGACTCGGACTCGGACTCCTCCTCCTCCTCGGGCTCGTCCTCAAGCTCGTCCTCGGGCTCGTCGTCCTCCTCCTCCTCCGCCAAGAAGGACCCACCCAAGAAGCGCGCCCGGCACGACTCGGACTGAGCATGGCGCATCCCGCCAGGGGCGGTGCACCTCCGGGAGCCGTCCCGGCGGCGGCGGCGTAGGGCACTGCAGGGCGGCTGGAGCGCCCGCGTCCGCGTCCCAGAATGGTCGGTGGTGCTGGTGTGGAGAGCTGGAGCGTGGAGCGTGGACGCGGCCGCGTCTGGACGCCTTGACCAGCTTCTCGCTTACACGTTACAGAGTCAGAGACCGGAGAGTCAGATGCAAGGCTCGAGTACATTTTCTGCGCTCCAGACGCGCTGCGCGCTCCAGACGCGGGTGCTTTATTCCCCTCTCCCTGCGCTTGCACAATGCGGAGCGTGCTCCCCGGCGCGCACCCCTACGCCCTTGGCCCTCTAGGTCTAGGTGGAGCCACGGGTCGGGCGAGGGAATGGCCTTTTGGCGCGGCGCTGCTCTGTGCCTGCGCGCTCATGGCGCGTTCAGGGGTGCGCCTGCGGTGTGTAGACTGCGGGGCGCCGCGATAGCGCGGCGCCGACGATTGTGTCGCTCATTGTCACACCAACAACCCGGTCACAGTGTGTGTGTGCAGTCTGCAGTGCGTCCACTCCGGCGACCGTGACGCCGTCGGCGCTCGTCAAAAGCATCTACTGTGGAGCTCTAAGTGTGGTTGCGTGTTGTACTAGTGGTGCTGCACTAGGCGGCCCGTTTTTAGCAAAAAGCAGATACCACATCGCGCGTGGTCATCGAAAAACCGCATGTTCGCCGGGTCCGTCTGGGACCTCTTCGTACGGCTCCGAAAACCGCTCCTTAACGACGACTGCGCGGCCCGGCGGTCGATCTGCGCCTTCTCAGCGGTGGAGGGGATGTGGGCGGTACGTGCGGACCGCATGGTACTGCGATGGTTTGACGAGTGCGACTCCCAGCGTCGACTTTTTCGACCCCACGGAGCCCGCTCTGCTGCTCGGGGGGGGGGGGGTCTGCAGACCACCCGGCCGAACTTCAGAGTGGCGGTGCTCCTCAAATACCGCTCAAACGCCCACGATGTTGTGGAGGGGACATATGGGTACCCTAGAAGAAGGCGGACGCCGACGAGGCGGGGGAGGAGGAGGAGGAGGAGAGCCAGGCCGAAATCGGCAAGGACTGGACCGAGTACGTGGACGGCAATGGGCGCCCCTACTATTACAACTCGGTCGACAAGCAGACGACGTGGACGCGGCCGCCGCCACCGCCGCCGCCTCCGCCGCCGCCTCCGCCGCCGCCTCCGCCGCCGCCACCACCACCCGGGCCGCCACCGCCGAGGGATGCGCCGCAGGGGCAGCGCCGCAAGAGGGCCAAGCCGGCACCGGCGGCGCCGCTCTATCGCACTCGCGATGCAGAGAC